AAAGAGAAGGGATTGAATTCAAAAAGATACAGCTGCAGCGCTACAGTTGCAGCGCTACAAGTGAACGCTGCCTAAGGTAGCTGAGCAGTTTATCTGCTACGCTCCTTTTCTTCCTGTTTTGGAATCGTAGTTCCTTCTGGTAAGCTCCGCCAAGCTGACCGTAACTCAAGTTACCTAAGCCTGCAAGGTCGAGCTCTTGCAATAGCTCCGGGAAAGGCTTGCGAAACTTCTGTGCAAAAAAAATTTGCGCAGAGTTCTGCCTTGCAAAACTGGTTTCCCGCCCACTAAGATTTACAGTGGATAGCTATCCGACTGACTTAGTGGTGCTACCCCACGGTAGCTCTGCAGCTCCACCGCGATTAGCGGCACGTGAGCTGTTTGCAAAGTTAGGAAGCTAGAGTGCAACTCCACTCCGCTTCCAAGTGCAGTAGAGGGATGGCAAGGTTCGGCCCCCAAGTAGGTTCGCCGGTTGGTGTCCTGGGTATGCCAAGCACAGATCAACCAAGAACTTTATCTTCCCTGTACCGCACACTGCACGACACTGGGGTGGGGCTTGCTGGCGAGGACCGGTGGAGACGAGGCGAAAGTAGAAGTCGTAGAAGTCGAATGAAGTCGATTGAACTGCACCTCACCAGCTTACCCCACCTTTATAGGCACGATTAGATAAGGGTACATTGATAAGATACATATAGCGATAAGATAGATCTTATCGATTCCAGCACAACAAAACAACAGGTTGAACAGGTGAAAGTGATAACACAACAACTGATATCAACAAAACGAAACGTGTCAGTCGAGGAGCTACTGTGCTATGAAAGAAGAAAGTCTAAGTTTTCGGGTTCATTTTCAAGCAGGCTCGCGTCTTCTGCTTACATTGCACTAACGTATGGCCCAGGTCGAGTTCCCCATTGTCACAGCACTACCGTAATATGAGGGAAAAGCAAGATAATGGGGCGCAGTTCGGCGAGATGGGAAGGGCCTTTTGTACGTCAGCTACTTCCCATTGTCCTGTCGCGCCATTATAAATTTGTGAAATCTGACATACTCTCAGTTGATACCATTTAACGCTTGTAGAAACTATTTGACAACTCTTGTGAAGCAGTAGCTACGACAATGGCAAAAGGCGAAGTGCAAAATGCCCCCACCCGTCCCCGGAGTGCCTCGATGATTGTCGGAGCAAAATTCAAAGACGTATAGGTCAAGATGACTGCCCATTTCAAGTATTCCTACAAAGGGAATTGACCGACAGCCCTTGT